ATTTTGTATTATTTATATGGTAACAATAATAATATCAGCAAAAATTTAAACAATACATAATGTTAATGCTAAGACTAATAATTAATATTAAAACTAACGGTAATAAAAACAACAATAATAATAACAATTACACCAATAATAACAGCAATATTATTGTGGCCGAGTTGACTTGTGGCCTAGTTGACTTGTGGCCGAGTTGACTGCAGCCGAACTTTTTGTGGCCGAGTTGATTTGTGGCCGAGTTGGCTTGTGGCCGAGTTGACTGTGGCCGAGTTGACTTGTGGCCGAGTTGAATCGAATTCGTTAAAATAGTTGGGTGTTCCCTGTATGGTGAAATGAATAGTAGACTTTATTGTCGGTTTTTGCAAGGGTCTAGGCCTAGCCTAGGTGAGTATAGGCCTATATTCATTGAAAAACCTATTGGGTGTTGCCAATCTGAAATAAACAAAATACCAGAAAAATATTTACAAGAAGTAACAGTAGTGCATCTGTTTAATTCCAAAGACTTTGCCATTTGGAACAAAAAATCTAACACTTCGGCAAAGTGAAAAAAAACCCCTGCAACCAGCCTAAAAAACAGTTAGGCCTTCCGTTATACTTTTCCGTCGTGAATTGAAAAAAAAAAAAACTTGGTATGTAGCCAGTTTGAATTAAATACCTGAATAAATTTGTATATTTGTGTATTTTGTTTTGCTTTATATTCATACAACTATAAATTATTATATAAATGTATGTTAAGATTCTTCTAAAAAATAATTAACGGTCAGGACTAGTAATAGTTCGGATAATATAAAAAATAAGTAGTAGAATAGTAATAATAGGCCTGATGAAAAATAATATTAGGCTTAATTATATATGATATTAATAATTATAATAATACTAAAATAATAACAACAAATATAATAATTATAAAATATATAATATAATATAAAAATAAATAATAAGAATAGTTTTACAAAAAAATATTAGAAAAGGGTATATTTTTCAATTTGCGACAGTATCAGTGCGTAAATGTGATAAAATGAATTTTTGAATAACAATAATATTAAAAATAATCTGCCTAGACCCTTGAAACTTGTAATTCTAAAACAACTTTATGTGCTTATTTCATGCATGAAGTTCGTTAAGGGATATAGTGTTTCATTAATTAAATTATGTACCCCCAAAAATGGCCCAAGTGCAAGAATTGCGCAATAAAATTGTATTTACTGTTGATTTCAAATGAGCACAATATTATCCGTGTACTGTCTAGAGCCGTGAAACCTTTTATTCTAGGACAACTTTTTGTGTTGATTTCAGTTATGCAGTCTGTTAAAGGGATAAATTGTTTAATTAGTAAAATATTATGCCCCAAAAATGGCCCAAGTGCAAGAATTGTGCAATAAAATTGTGTTACGATTGATTTCAAATGAGCATAATATTATCTGTGAACAATCTAGAGCCACGAAACCTTTCATTCTAAGACAACTTTGTGTGCTGATTACAGTTATACAGTTTGTTAAAGGGATGCATTGTTTAATAAGTAAGATATTTTGCCCCAAAAATGGCCCAAGTGCAAGATTGTGCAATAAAATTGTGTTTACTATATTATTGATTTCAAATGAGCATGATATTATCCATGTACTGTCTAGACAGCCATGAAACCCTTCCATTCTAGGACAACTTTTTGTGCTGATTTCAGGTATGCAGTCTGTTAAAGGGATGCATTTTTAAATTAGTATGATATTTTGCCTCAAAAATGGCCCAAGTGTAAAATTGCGCAATAACATTGTGCAACTATATATTGATATATTTCAAATGAGCATAACATTAACAGTGTACTGTTTAGAACCATGAAACCTACATTCTAGTACACATTTGTATGCTTATTTAATCCATGACGTCTGTTAAGGGACAGAGTGGTTAGTTAGTATGATATTTTGCATCAAAAAATGGCTCAAATGCAAGAATTGCATAGTAACATATATTTTAAATATGAGCACAATATTATCAGTGTACTACTGCCTATAGCCATAAAACCTTTAATTCTAGAAAACCTTTTGTGCTTATTTCAGTCACCTAGTCTGGTAAGGAACACAGTCTTTAATTAGTAAGATATTGTACCGACCCCAGAATTTTGAAATAACAGTGCTTTTCACCATTCTCGCACAAGAGCCACTTTTGGGCGCCCAATATCTTAATAATTAAACATTGTGTCCCTCTTACCACCAGAGTGCATGACTGAAATAAGCACAAAAGGTTGTTTTGAAGTAAAAGTTTCATGGCTCTAGACAGTACAATGTAAAATTTATGCTCATTTAAATTCAATGTCACACAATGTTATTGATCGATTGTTGCTGCACTTGGGCCATTTTTGGGGCAAACTATCTTACTATTAGTTAGTAAGATAACAGACTGTATCCCTTAACAAACTGCATGAATTAAATAAGTGTACAAATATGTACTAGAATATAAGGTTACATGGTTCTGAACTGTACACTGTTAATGTTATACCCATTTTAAATATCAAAATAGTCGCACAATGTTTAAGTGCAATTTTGCGCTTGGGCCATTTTTGGGGCATAATATCTTACTAATTAAATAATGCATCCCTTTAACAAACTGTATAACTGCAGTCTAACAATTGTATAACAATTTATCCCTTTAACAGACTACATAACTGAAATCAGCACAAAAAGTTGTCCTAGAATAAAAGGTTTCACGACTCTAGACAGTACACGGATAATATTATGCTCATTTGAAATCATCAGTAAATACAATTTTATTGCACAATTCTTGCACTTGGACCATTTTTGGGGGGACATATCTTGCTAATGAAAGACTATATCCCTTAACGAACTGCATGCCTGAAATAAGCACATAAAGTTGTTTTAGAATTACAAGTTTCAAGGGTCTAGGCAGATTATTTTTAATATTGTCGTTATTCAAAAATTAATTTTATCACATTTACGCACTGATACTGTCGCAAAATGAAAAATAAACTCCTTTTCAAATTGCTTTTTAAACATGAAGGGATAAAGACACCAAGCTGATATTTGGAACATCTGATCATCATATGTAAATTAATTAATGGTGGAAGTTTTAACAACAAGCGTACTTGCCCACATGGTCAAAGGTCACCATGAAAATGAGGCATTTTTGTGCATTTTTTGTCCCGAATTACCTTTTGACCTACGATTACCCCCTAAAATGATAAGTTAAAAATCCAGAATTTTTTGTGGTGAAACATTTCCAACTATATATTAATAATTTGTTGCATAAGACCCATTTAATAACTGATTTGGGTATTTTAATTTGGTCTAAAAATGGAAGAAAAATTACACAACCAAATAAGTTAGGGTGTTTACGAACCAATATTTTCGTAACAGGGTCCGGTATACCAAAAGTCATGTCATATTCCTGTTCTACAGCCAAAAGTTAGTCTAGATATCAATTTTCAATTAATTATCTTTATTCTATTTGAAGATAGGCTAATTGAAAATGCAACTTTACAAATATGTCATAATTGATAGCTAAAAAGGGGTATGACCCTAAAATTTCAAATGGCCGTAACTTTTAAACGACTTGGAATTGGCAAGTCAAATTTTGGGTTTGTTCGTCAGACATGTTGGTGCACATTATCCGAGTTTCAAGAAAATCTGAGACGATACCCAGCCATGATTTTCTGAAAATTTGTTTGAGTTGGCACAGAATGACCCAGTAGGGTGGAAGTTTCAAAGAAACTGATGATATTGCAGGCGGTGCAGCATCTGAAGCAGATACAAAAGGTTATTGCTGTTGTCCTTCCATTATTAACTTGATGCAAAGAGTGTGCACTGAAACGTCGGGGTCACCACTTTAGTGTAAGTTATTTTAGTGTAAGTGTACGATGAGATGATAAAAATACACCACACTAATTTATATGTAGAACTGTACAATTTATTCCAAGTGAAAAGCGTATTTACAAAAACACTTGAGAAACAAGTTGATGATATACATAAATTGATAGAAAGCGAAAGTAATGTGTACTCAGGGAGGACAAACTGAGGAGTGTCTGTAAAAGTACAAATGTATGTGATATAGCATCACCTTTCATACCATCTGACCAATAAGGATTAGTAATTATCTGTCCTTGTCTAGTACCTGGGAAACTCATCAACATTCCCAAATGATGTGTGGTCACTTGAATTAAGGCTATTTTCACACACACGGCGTAGGACTGGCGTAGCTTACGCCAGACATAAGCTAATTCAGGGATTAAAATTCCAAAGTGTTCACACAAACGGCGTTTGCTATATTAATGCTGGCGTTAAACTAGTAGTAATAGGCCTATGGGGGAATAGAAGTTTTAAATAATGTACGTGTTCTTTAACTGTAGTAAAATTAACAGTGCATCAGTAAAACTTCTAAATCTGTGAATTGTTCAAAGTGAACTTATATGATTATTGCATTTTAAATGAACAATTTTGCTTTGATTTTTCAGCTAGCATTGTTGGTGTTGCAGGCTTTAATAGACAGTCAAAATAGGTTAAAATATCTTACAAAACACAATCAACAAATCATATACATTATAACTAAGTAAAATGCAATAGAAAAAGAACCCCTTTACCATTTCATTTATAGAGAGCAAAGGAAAGAGACCAAAGTAGCTAATATATTGAAATCGTGATTGGTCAATCTCTTGAAATGAGGTAAAATCATTCAAGCATCACTGGCGTTAGCTCAGTGGCGTTAGCTAATCTGGGGTCTGCAGGTAGCGTTAATAACGCCACGGACGTGGCGTAGTGAGTGGCTTTAACAAAGCCACTGCTTAGTTCACACACAAATGCGTACGCTACGCCATGCTTAAGCCAGCCTTACGCCGTGTGTGTGAACATATCCTAAGGCAAATGACCTTAAGGTAAATGACCTTTCTAAGCTTGGTATATAACCCATGAACTTGGGATATTAGTTAAAAATGCAAGGTATTATTTACACACAGATCCTATATATATATATATATATATATATATATACATAAATACCTAAATATAATAATTTGCTGTAAAGATTGTAAGGCGTTTCCACTTTTGATAATATACCTTTGTCTTCTTTTTATAAATCACTGTTTCAAGTGCGTGTTACAAACTGATTAACAATTGTACTGTAGTTAAGCTTTGTGTATGTAAAGGCAATACTTCTTGAGCCTTCGCGACTCCATACTATATAACAACAATATATTAATTAATATGTACATTTGAGATGAAATAATTACTATGTAGGTACAGTATAGTTTCTGGTGTTAATTAGTTTAGTCCTATACGATATATATTTGTTTTTCTGCATGATGATAAAACGTAAAATGATTAATATGGAAAGTGCCAAAACATAAAATTTCACAAACTGTACTTTAAACATATACATACATACATACATGCATAGAAACTTAACTTAATCCTTTCTGAGCCACTGAGGCTCAATGGGTTGGAGCTTATCCCCAGTTTCTGTAGTGTGAAGCGGATGAGAGTTGTACTCCCCCTGGACAGGACACTAGTCCATCACAGGTTAGTCCCCAGCAGTTTGCTGGTAACCATTGATACAGCTGGGTGGACTGAAGCAATGTAGCTAAAGTGCCTTGCCCAAGGACTCAAGCGAATCTGCACAGCGGAAACTCGAAACCCCGACCTTACGATTGAAAGCCCAAATCTCAACCGCTGCACCGAACTTCCGTTACCCGACATACATAGAAAACCTTTGCATTTTAGTTATAAACATGCCTATGTAGGCCCTACTGTGCTGTATACAGTACTGATCTTTTTGAAATTTGATGCCTACAATCTTGTACCTGTCAGGTAAGGCACTAATGTTTGGTATCTTTATCTTGTCCCTGTCATGTACTGATTACAGAATGACTGATATAGCATTGATATCGTATTTTCTTACAGGTAACCCCTGGAGGCAAAGCAGCCAAACAGAACCTCTACCCAAATGACATAGTGACCGCTATCGATGGACATGATACAAGCTCAATGACACACCTTGAGGCACAGAATAAAATCAAAGCAGCTTCCGGTAATCTAATGCTAAATATTCAAAGGTGATTATCAAGTGATCTTAATGTCAACTTTCTTAAAAGCTCATTATTTTAGTTATTTTTTTCAACGATAGTTAAAGAAGTCGTTCCCATAGCAAGCTAACATAAAGAATCTCTCATAGTAGATAAAATATTTTATGTTGTTTATATATTCACTCATCATAATGTTTATTCACTCTCACTGTAATTTACCTCTAGTCCTATTGTTTCTAAACCATTTTTGCCTGACTTAAAATTCTTGCTGAAAACTTGGTTCAGATAAAGTATAGTAATACCTAAAAAAAATAACCATGGATAAAGACAAACAACATAATAACACTTGGCCCAGTTTTTACATGTCATTTTTAACCATGAACCTGTTAATTACTCTAATTTTTTTTTTTGTAGAACTGGTGAAGCGAGAGTATGGAAACCAACAACTACAAGAATTGAACCGCAAGGAGTCAGTGACGGCCCCTCATTCAAGGTCTCCCTTGCTGCTAATAAACAAGAAGTAAGTTATAATAAAAGGAAGATACAATTTTTTTTCATTTAAACCCTTTCTTTACTGTGCTTTGTATTTCAAACATTGTCTTCCTACATGTACAGTAGTATGATTTTGGTTATGGGTTTTCAGTTTTGTTTTGGGATAATTGTAATCTAGTATATAGTCCATTTTTAATCTGTACTAGCATGTATGATATATATTTTGCATGAGAGGGGAAAGTTGGTGATGTATATTGTTGAATGTTATGGGAAGTCATTAGCATGTCTTTGTTTGCTTGAGTTTGTGTTCCACAGGTGTTTAATCCAATGAACAGGGGGTAGTAATGTGAAGCGCTTAGAGGCCTTGTCGGCATTAAGTACTATATAAATCTAACAGATTATTATATTATTATTATTATTTATTATGTTTCTAAATAACGTCTCTGTAGATAATGTCTTCTTTGTTTTTTAGTTGGATCGGCAAGTTACGGTAGGCCAAATGAAAAAAATACTAATTTCTCATCTACTTCATGCATCCATTTTCTCTGCCCCACCAGTTTTGTTTTGTTTTTTTTATTTCATTTAATTATTTTTAAAAATGTACCAAAGGCTGGCTAACTCACATCAGTAAAGTGCCTCTCTTGATCATTCATATGGTATGAATCAGGTCCAGTGCTTTTATTTGCTTTCAATGTATCTACATGGTAAAAGTGAGAAAGAAGTAACTGCACCCCATTAACCATCTTGGATTTGCCATCTCAGAGTTTAAAAAAAAAGGTTCCCTCATTCCCTAATGATAATATAGATGATAATGCTAGTAATAATGATATAAAATATTGGTATATTTAATATCATTATCAATAAAATAATGATATGAGTGAAAAAGCTAATTAAATATGCAAGCCATAATTCCAGGTTCCTGGTTTTCATTCCATAGAATTTTTTTTCTCATGAGTAAAATCGAAAGCAACCTTTAATTCCATCCGATAATGTTTGAATTACAACTCAGTATATCATACAGCTGACTATATCATGACATATGAAATAATTCAAAAGTCTGATAAAAACCTCTTAAATTATTCATAATGCATCTGTTTGTCTCAGTTGTCTGTAATTCTATAGTCTTGACAGAATTTCTTTTTTTTTGCCAGAAATTATGTAGTATATTATCAACATCACAGCATGTAGCCCTGTCCCGTGTCATGCACACACCTTAGCAGCTTAGATCGGGTTAACTTTACCTCACCTTGAGACCCATCTCTCACAGTGGGATCCTTGTTCTAAGAGCTTCCCAGGGCCTAGCAACTGGGATAATTCAATTTAGTGTTTCCATAGCAATGTGTGGTCGCTTTTAGGTGGGATTGAATATTATTGTTATTCTTTTGGTGATTCTCCTGAAATATGTGAGAGAGAGACAATAGTTAAATTCATGTCACTCACTAAAAAAAGATCTATTATTATCAGTTGCCTTTGCTAAGCTTTT